TTTGTGTTACGTTTGCTGTGCTGCTTCAATTCTTCTACACATCAGCATTGTGTTGGATGTTTGCCGAAGGACTACAGCTCTATCAACAGATCGTTAAGGTTTTCAACTCCAGTCTTAAGATGAAACAAGTGTACTGCTTTGCCTGGGGTATGGGTTGCTCAGTTAGATCCATGTTTTCATTTATCTTCCCAGTCATCCTTCTGTTCCATATGATCATTAATCCACCTACCAACTTATTCAGTATATCCTTCCTAATTCCAGTTTCCGTGTCATTACTTTTGTTCCCTCCATTGTTCCTTTCTTCTCTTCATTTTTCTTGTCTATAACCTTCTTTCCCTTCATACCTATTCCTCCTTCCTCCCATACATCCAATCATCGTATTTTGCGTTATTCCATCGTCTTGTGATCATTTCCCCGGAGAGTCAGTGATTTGCAATATGGCGTCATATACTACAACTACCAGAATGCTTTGCCCACTCTCTTTTGCAATGAATAATCAACTTTAGATATTTTGGTTCGATAATTATGTACAAAAGAACGCACACGAGGCTCCAGTTTTTTTTTATCTGAAACGGATTAAAAATCTGAAAAAACAGACTTTCTGGTAATGTTACGCCATCATGAAAATGTCCTGTTGGTCGCCATTTGTAATTTTGCGCTAGCAAAATGAGCAAAAACAAACAAGCAAAAAAACACTGTGTTATCTTCTATTTATGAACTATCTTGGGAATGTTTCCAAAATATCGTTAGCCGTCGTACTTTTGGCAGCTAATACCAGCCCCTCAATACTGTACTTATTTACATTAACCAGGAATGCCAACACTTCTWATCGTCTGCTCGCTTGGCATTGCGGGAAACCACCAAGATGGCTTCTCAAGCCTTGTCAGCAAGGATTTGTAAGTATTTAGAATTATTTCTTGCTTTACTCACATAAATGATGCGAAATCCTTAAATGCACGGACTAAGAAAGATTCCCAGAGTGTGTCTAAGTACCCAGAGAAGTGGAGAAGTTGATATTTGAGTGAAAAAAAATCCCTCAATATTAACAAAGGAAGACGCAGGAATTTGAGTTTTCTAATGAATGCGTTTTCTAGATGCTGGCTTTCTGTTCAAAATCGCCTTATATGGGTATTCATCGTCCCGGTGTTTGTTCTAATACTGGTGAGTCGAAACCATTTCACATATATAGACTTTACAGACTACCCCAATAACAAAGAACATGTGTCAACCAAGCCCTGCACTATGGTGCTAAAAACACCAAAGGCCTTATTATCGTGTTTCAGACGGTTTTCCGCGTAAACAAAGAGCATTTCTCCTTTTCCAGACCGGTCTTTTCAGGGGCGGCGGAGCGTTTTTGGCCCTGGGTGAGATAAGAAGATTGATTAATATTGTGGTAAAGAAATCCTTTTTTATTCATCAAACTTTCATTTTGAAGTAGAATATAACTGTTATTGAATTACATTAAAGGAAAATACAACGAGCTTTTATCATGAAACAAATTAAATTTTCGAAAATGATGGGGAGGGGGTTACAGCTCCCCCTGGTTCCGCCGCCTCTGCTTTTAACATACTACAGTGTATAGTGTGTTAATTCTCGATGACCAAAAGGAAACTTGACGAGTTGATACTTTCATCAATACCATGATGCACTTTGCTACAAAGTATGACGTCATGAGAGCCTTATTCGGTAATTGCCATGGAAAACGTACACATGCGCGATGACCTTTTTTTGATTTCTCAGGGTAATCTGGTGATTCTTGGAATGGTTATCAAAGAGTTGAACAAAGTCGACAAGTCCAGCGATTCGTTGCTAAGCACCTTCAGGTACTAATGATCACGTGATTTGTCATRTGATTCTTATACATGCACTAGGTAGTCTCCTCGCAGCCGTGTTTAGTTTCGGTCACGCGTCACGTAACCTCTATTGATATGACGAGTAACCGAAACTAAACATGGCTGCGAGGAGACTATGCACTAGGTAACTGATGTAAAGGCTGCACCGACATATTTTGGGGTATTGGGGTACCTAACTAATTTTTTCTGAGGTATATTTTCATCAAAGACATTGTAAAATACTTGAGTCAAATATTTTAATTCGCTTTAAGATACTATTTAATTGTTTTACTAGCAGTATTAACTAACTTAAGCATTCTTTTCAGAACTAATCTGAAAGCGTTTGGTTTGCTGTCTCCATTACTTGGGATAACATGGCTGACAGGGTTGCTATGCATTCTGGGAGTAGGTGTGGTTGGTTTGTACTTATTCACAATATTGAATTCATCACAGGTGAAAATTGAATTATAATTCTCACTATTATATCGCTAATATTGCTTTTTTTATG